TCATTTCTCGATTTCTGTCTCTGTCTTTCTGGTGAGCACACATGCCCTATAGCAAAAACCTCTCCAAAAAAAAAAAATATTAAGAGTTACAAAGAAGAAAAAATATACCATAATATTCCCCAAGATAATATCTAATGGTTTTTTTGTTTTGTTTTTGTTTTGTTTTGTTTTGTTTTGTTTTGTTTTCAAAAGCAATGTAATGTTGGGAACCAGCAGTTAGCGTAATGGCTATGTCGCTGGACTCCCACGTAGTCGACCGCGGTTCGTGTCCCGGACCTGGTGGCTTAAAACTCACGCCAGGCGCATGTGTGTGCATGCCCAAGATCCCAAAAGGAGAATGGAGGAGAAGGGATTGCGGCGTGACCATCCCCCCTGGGGGTGATTTCTCGCTTTCTGTCTCTCTGTCTCTGTCTGTCTGGCAAGTGCACGTGCCCTATAGCAAAAATCTCTCCAAAGGAAAATAAATAAATAAATAATGAAATGTTGGGGCTGGGAGGTGGTGTGGTGGTTTAGACGCTGGACTCCCACATGGCCAACCACAGTTCGAGTCCTGGACCTGGTGGGTTTCTTTCTCACTTTCCCCCTCTCTGTTTCACATCAAATTTAAAAATAATAACAAATAAAATTAGATAAATAATTCTTTTAAAAAATAATGTAATAGCTGTATAAGTTTAGATAATATATGTCTGTAGATGTGTCTGTGTTACATAAGTGGACATCTTTATATAAAATCTCTTTTTACTGGGACTAGCAGATAGTGTGCTGGTTTGGGTGCTGGACTTCCACATGGCTGACCATGGTTCAAGTCATGGACACAGTAGCTTACTTTCTTGTTTTCCCTCTCTCTCTCTCTCTCTGTCTCTTTATGGTCAAATTAAAAAATAATAATAACAAATGGAATTAAATAATTTTTAAAAAATAATCTCCTTTTATTTGGCCTCATAGTGTTCTGTCATATGCTGAACCATGATTTTATATTTCATTCATGTTCAGAGTTTTGTTCTTACAAATAGGGCCTAGCAGGTGGCATGGCAGTTAAGGTGCTGGATGCCCACATTGCCAGCTGTAGTACATGGTGGTTTGCTTCCTCACTTTCCTTCCTTCTCTCTCTGGTGAGCACATGTGCCCTATAGCAAATTAAAATTAATTAATTAAATAAATAACTATTTAAAATCAAAAGAAAACAAAACAAAAACAAAAAATGCTCCATTGTTTGGGATATACCTTTCTAGAGTTACATAAATATTTCCATAATGTAAATTCCTAGCAGTAACATAGCTGATCAAAGGATTTATGTTTTAAATATTGATAGATATGACTTCTTTATTTATGTAGATAAATCCGTCACTTTCCCTTTTCATCTTCTAGGTTTCATGCCGTACTTAGAAATGCTTTCTGCACTTCGAGATTTTAATTTTACCCATGGTTTCTTCTAGAATATTTGATAGATCTTATTTATCTATTATTTTAAGGTTATTTTTATTTCAATCTTCCACGAGTGAGAGAGGCAGAGAGCACCTCCAGGAGGATCTTGAGGCCACAGTCCACCATTGTCCCCAGCCATCTTGGGACCATGGGCAGGCACATGCTTAGAGAGGCACAAACCTGGAACCATCCCGTGCGGTCAGCCTCACAAAGTGTGAAGCTGCACCACCATTCGGCTCCCAGTTCACCTTATTTTTAGGGATACGTTCAGCCCTGTGTAGCTGGTTGTAGAATAACATATATGTTAGATATTGCCCCTTAGCACATCCTCTCCAAGCCACAGGGGACAAAGGCTAAGAATGAAGTTGCACAGAGTCTAAGGTAAGTAGAGTTCTGACCGTTTAGGCTCTGCCCATGTGAACTTGGTCAGGATTTGGAAAGGAGAGGGGCAGATGCCACCTCCTGTGGCCGCGCCAGAGGACGGACGAGCTCCTGCAGGCGGGAGTCTGCTGCAGCCAGCTCCACGCTTTAGTCGGTCACCTGTGTCATTGGTACGAGTCAGTGGCAGCACTGGCTTCCTGTCCTCTGGCTCTCCAAGGGTAGTATAGCCTTGAATTTCCAGTTTCTGCATTTTCTAAGGACCTAATTCTCTGTATCAAGTCCCTTCCTGCCTGAGATACCAAGAGGAATCTCTTTCCTATATGGAACCCTAACTGATACATTTTGACTGTGATCCTGCGTTATTCCTTTCTAAACAGCAAAATATTGTACCACATTTTACTGGGAAGTCTCACTTTACCCACTAATCTAAAATGCCAGCTTCAGGGCCAGCAGGTGGCATGATGAGTAAGGTGCTAGACTCCCACATGGCCTACCACAGTCTGAGTCCCAGAACCAGTGGCTTAAAAATCATGCTGGGTGTGTATGCATGCATGCCCAGGATCCTAAGACAAGAAGAGAGGAGAGGGGACTGTGGCATGGCCGTCCCCTTGGGGGGTGATTTCTCACTTTCCCTCTCACTGGTTCTCTTTGGTGAGTGTACACTCCCTATGGCAAAAACTTAAATAAATAAAGTCATTATTTCCAAAAATAAAAATAAATAAAATACCACCTTCATCTTAAACTAAGTCTCTACTTGCATTTTGGTCTATTATATTTCTTTTTCTCAATTTTAATTCATGGTATGCTTTCTATGTAGTGGAAGTAAATCTCTGCTTCACCCACATTAAATTACTATTATTCTGGGCCAGCCAATTGCATGTTGGTTAAGGTGACTGGATCCCACATGGCCAACTGCACGATTCAAGTCCTGGACCCAGTCACATAAAAACCACCCCCCACGGGGGGGGGGGGATGGCCATGCCGCAATCCCTTCTCCTCCATTCTCCTCTCGGGATCTTGGGCACGCACACACGCACCTGGCGTGAGCTTAAGCCATCAGGTCCGGGATTTGAACCGTGGTCAACTACGTGGGAGTCCAGCGACATAGCCATTAAGCCGACTGTGGGCCCCGACTACAAGAAATTTTTAAAAGTAAACAAAGTCCAGTTTGATTATGTGGCATCTAGAACAAGTGTCTCCATTATGGTTTGGCCCCAGAGCAAGCATTAGATCTGCCGCTTCGCTGATTTATTACCTCCGAAATGACAGCAGCTGCTGATTGACTCTTTTCCCTTGCCAGAGGCCTTATGCTGGAGCCACTGGTAGGAGCTCAGTCTCAAAAAAGTGGGCTCCCCTTAATATTGAGTAACAGCACATGAGTACACAGTGCCGGCCTCCTTTCTCTTAGGTAGTGCCATCAGCCTTTGCTGTCTTCTTAATGGTGCCACAGCCTACAGTGGGTTTGGCCACCAGGGCAGAGGTATTTTAGGCTTGCCCTCTGTTTAATCTCTTCCAAAGTACACTAAATCAGTTTCCAAAGCCCCGAAGTTAAAGATCGTCCGTTCTCCAGCCAGCTAGTCGGGTAGCAGCTGCTTTAGTCAGCTCAGAAATCTTAAATAGGAATACACTGAACTTTCTCCTCACCTCTGAGCCAGACTCTGGGGTCGGGAAACCCTTTGTTGAATGTTTGGAGTGAGTGGTTAGGAGGCCTCTGGCAAGGGAGAAAGAGCCAGTCTTCTGCTGCTCTGTCATTAAGGAGGTAATAAATCAGCAAAGCATCGCATCAAAAGCTTCCACTGGAGCCAGCTGGGGATGTGGTGGTGAAGGCACCTGGCTGGATCCCACATGGCCAACACTGCATGGTTCAAGTTCTGGACGTGTCAGCTTTGAGACTGCCGGGCAGGTGTACGTACGTGCCCAGAATCCTGAGGCGAATGGGCAAGAAGGGACTGCAGCATGGTCATCCCCCCTTGAGGGTGCGCTCTCCTTTTCCCTCTCTTCCACTGTCTCTCTGGTGAGTGGATGCGCCCTACAGCAAATTAAAGAGAAAAGGGAGGAAATCGCACTAAACATTCTGTGTGAAATGTTACAATCCTGGTCTACAATTTTACTCACTTGTCTCTTTCCAAAATGTCTTTAATGTATGACTATTTCTTTTCTTTTCTTTTTTTTTTTTAGGTTTTTGCCAGAGGGCACAAGAAAGACAGAGACAGTGAGAGAGAAAGTGAGGAAAGAAAAAATATATACACAAATAAGGTCATATTCTGCATATTATTGGGCATCTTGGTTTTTTCACTCTCTTGCAGATAATCCACCTCATTCTTTCCAGTTGCTGAAAGTATTGTTATTTATGAATCATCTTTTTAAAAAGAATTATTTTATTTATTCATCATTATTGTTCTTATTTTTTAGCCTGACCAGAGAGACACAGAGAGAGAGAGAGAGAGAGAGAGAAAGTGAGAAAGCAAGCCACGCAGTCTAGGACGCGAACCACGGTCAGCCACGTGGAAGTGCAGCACCTCAACTACTACACCACCTGCCAGCCATTTATGAATCATAAGACAGAGCCGTTCTTCTGGGGATGTCACCATCAGTGCTGCAGTGGCCCTCCTTGTTCATACACAGTGGCATATTGTATGAATTACCAATGAAGTAAATTCCTAGTCGTGGAATTGTTGGTCAGAAGCTAAGTGCTTTTAGAACTTGTAGAATTTGGTGGAGATCATCAAACTGCCTTCCAAAAAGGTGGTACCCATTTATACTTCCACCAGCAGTGTATCGTATCACCTGTGTCCTCCATTCTCATGGGGTTTTTTAAATTATTTATTTAATTTATTATTCTTTAATTTAACTAGAGAGAGAGAGAGAGAGTGAGAAAGCAAGTCACCAGACCTGGGACTGGAACCATGGTTGGCCATGTGGGAGTCCAGCAGCATAAGCACCATGCCACTTGCTGGCCCCCTCATGGGGTTTTTAAATTTTTTTTTTCAGACTAATAAATAAAAGTAAACATTAACTTTTTAAAATTTTATTATGAATAAGGAAGAATATAAATTTATTTTTAAAAATAATTGTTGGTTCCATTTGAGTTTAATAATCGGAGGGGTTTTTTCCCCTTCTATTTAAGTACTTTGTATTACCAATTTCTTATGGCTTTGATATTTTCTCTCATAAGTCATCTTCCCAAAGCAAAATACTTTTTGGAGGGATGATTAAGTTTTCTTGGTTTTTTTTTTTTTTTTGCTCCTTGGTTGCCTTGGGCTGAACTAGTATCTCTTTAATCGATTCCTCCATCTCTGGGCTTTGGCAAGATCTTCTGCAATAGCTTTAATCATTTTATCCGTCGTTTCTTTCAAGGTGGTTGCTGTCTTTAGGGCCTGATCCAAAGCCGAGTTTAAAATCTATAGAGGAGAAGCCCACACACGTTAGCTACACACACTCTTTCTGTTAATTGGGTTCTTTTATTAATAAACATTGCCAGGTGGAATTTTTGAAGTATTCTGTTTTCCACACAGTATTCTGTTGTTAAGGGTTGGTTTCCTAGGAAACCAGTCCACAATGGAATATATCTGTTAGGGAAAGGAGTAGAAAAAAGACCAACGCCTGACTGATGAGGGGGAGTCAGGGTGAGGTCAGCAGCCTGTGGGGCTGTTTCCCTGCTGCAGAGAAAGAGAAAAAGCAAAGGTTCTAAGGGAGCCATTGATGGGGGCCTGGGGGCCGGGACCCCTGAGGGCGCCAGGATACAGGGTGTGCTAGAAACATTTGACAGTGGCCTGGGGCGTGATGTTACTGATTTGAAAATTGGAAACTGCTGGCAGCCCCAGCCCTGGTATCACTGGTGCAGCCTGGACACTTCAAGCCTGGGCCAGGGGAATCCTGCACTGAGGCCCCACCTACAAAGCTTTCTCCAGGAAATTTCTCTTGGAACCAACTTAGGGATGATAGGAACCATGTGGCTGCTAAGGCTGCCTGTCTGCGTAGTGCTGAGTGGAAAGCTGGTTTTAAGCAGAGCATTTTCCGAAACTCCCTTATGTAATAGCTTACAAGCCATCAGTTCTGTGGCCCTCAAGACCAAACTTTATGAGGTGCAAGGATTCTCGAATGTTTTTTCTAAGTTCTCACCTTAGATTCTGTTTCTTCGATGCTATTAAAGTCACCTAAGGATTTGTTTCCAGAAATCCTGCAGGAGTGGGGTGAGGATGTTGCTAGTTGTGAGCTGTAGGTCCTGAAAGCCTTAAGATTTTTTCTGGAAGGCAAAAGCACAGCAATTCTTGTGCAAAGTGCCACCTTGAGCACTCGCTCCTGTTCAGGACTGCCCTGGGGTTCAGTAATGGCTCAAGTGGGTAGGTGGGGTGGGAGCAGCGGTCCTGCACCCTCTCGTCCCATGTGACTGACTACCTGGTCTCACTTGAATTCTCACTAACCTCACTTAGCCGCTGCCCCAGTCTGCCCTACTCTACGTTATTCCTCCTCTCTCGGTGACTGCTGTGATCTTTAAAAACACTAAAATACTTTAAAAACTCTCAGGTTTCAAAATATCACTAGCGTGACCAGTAGATGGCACTGTAGTTACATTGCTGGACTCACACATAGTTGACTGCAGTTCGAGTCCTAAACCCAGGCACGTGTGTGTGCATGCCCCAAATCCTGAGGGGATTAGAGGAGAAAGGATTGTGGTGTGGCCATCCCCCCGGGGGGTGATTTCTTACTTTCTGTCTCTCTGTTTCACTGGGGAGCACATACGCCAAAAAATATCTCTAAAAAAAAAGAAGTCACTGGCTTCCCATTGTTCCTAAGAGTCTGAAATCCTCCATGTGGCTGACAAGCCTCTGCACAGTCTGGCCCTACCTGTCACCAGCCTCCCCTCACCAGCCTCGTCTTCCCCCCCAGACACTCCCTCTTCTGGCTGCCAGCCACACCATTCCTGGACTTGCCAAAGGCCTTCCCACAACAAGAAGCTTTCTTAGACCAGAATGTTCTTCACTACATTTCTCACATCCCCCTGCTAGTTCAGTCATGTTTAACTGTTGAACTCGGCTTCCCTGAACCCCTAATTAGCTCCATAGCACTCCGTATATCCCAGTCTTGGCACCCCAAAGACTGTCGCTCCTCTACCAAAAAGTAAGCTGCAGGAACTCAGGGGCAGCGGTTGGCTTTGTCATTGTATCTTCCACACTTCTCATACTACTCTGTTTTGGACACTCCAGTGTTTGCTGAATGAATAAATGAAAGATCAAAGTGTTCAATAGGCTTAGGTTTGAATCCTGGCTCTACTACTAATAATCTAGGTGGCCTTGGGTAGGTAGGTAATGCACTGATAAACACATCATATACACTCGGTGACAGCTATTTTTGTTATTAGATAATAAAAGAATACTTACTTTCCTGTCATGGGCTCATATTCACCTTGAAAGGATTTTGAATTCACCCTCTGGGAACAGATCCTTTTTGGTTTTGAACAGGCTGAAAAATGTTAGCTGTGATTAAATTCAGAGCATCAAGTGATCCCAAACTTGCTATGTATTATTATTTTTTTCTTAGAGAAAGATTTTTGCCATAGGATGTGTGTACTTGCCAGAGACAGAGAGACAGAAAGCAAGAAATCACCCCTCCGGGGGGATGGCCACACCGCAATCCCTTCTCCTCCATTCTCTTCTCGGGATCTTAGGCACGAACACATGCCGCCCAGTGTGGGTTTTGGTTTTTTTTTTTTTTTTTTTGGGGTGGGGTTAAAGGTTTTTTTTTTTTTTTTTTTTTTTTTTGGAGAGGTTTTTGCTATAGGGCACGTGCACTCGCCGGACAGACAGACATAGAGACAGAAAGCAAGAAATCACTCCCCCAGGGGGGATGGCCACGCCACAATCCCTTCTCCTCCATTCTCCTCCCCCGAATGTTGGGCACACACACATACGCGCCCGGCGTGAGTTTAAGCCACCGGGTCTGGGATGCGAACCGTGGTCAACTACGTGGGAGTCCAGCGACATAGCCATTATGCTAACTGCTGGTCCCCCACCCAGTGTGTTTTAAGCCATTGGGTCTGGAATTCAAGCTACAGTTGACTACATGGGAAACAGCGGAATAACCATTAGGCCATCTGCTCGTCCCATTTTCTGAACTTTTCTGCATGGATGAAATAGTTCATTAAATGTTAATAAGTAAGGAAATTGAGGAGCATATAAAAAGAACATTGTATTAAGTGTTCTGAATTCATGAAGAGAAATTCAGCTTTTGTCTGCTTGCTTTTAAGCCAAAGTGCACGTATGCTTGCTAGAAAAAGGAAGGGAGAGAGAGAAGGCACGCCCCCTTGGGCCACGGCCATGCCACAAACCCTCCTCTATTTCTCCATTCTCCTAGAATTTGGGGTACACACGCACATGCATCTAGTGTGTTTTGTCAAACCACCGGAGCTAGGATTTGAACTGCACAAGCATCATGTGGAATCCAGCTCCCTTAACCACTGGGCCAGAGGACTAGCCTAGGAAAATCAACTTTTTTTTTTTTTGGAGAGATTTTCACTGTAGGGCGCATGCGCTCGCCAGACAGAGAGAGACATAGAGACAGAAAGCGAGAATTCACCCCCCAGGGGGGATGGTCACGCCACAATCCCTTCTCCTCCATTCTCCTCTCGGGATCTTGGGCACGCACGCACACACGCCTGGCGTGAGTTTTAAGCCACCGGGTCCAGGACGTGAACCGTGGTCGACTACGTGGGAGTCCAGCGACATAGCCATTACACTAACTGCTGGTTCCCCCGAAAATCAACTTTTGAAAGGAAGTTTTTTCTAGCAGACAAGAGACCGGGAACTTAGGTTCCCTGGGTGCTAGCTGTGTGACCTGGGTATATTTTCTAATTCATCTAGACTCAGCTATCACATCTGGTAAATGGAGGAATAATAGCTTCCAAGAGGTTAGGCCAGGGGCCAATGGGTGATGCAGAGGTAACGGGACACTGCGATGATGATGGTTTGGGCTGCACGAGACTCGGGTAGGGTGGCAGCCCTCAGACCCTGTTGAGAATGCCTGTCTCAGATGAAATAAGCATTTTTTAAAAAGTATTCAATTAGTTTTGCTGAATATAAAAAATATTGTTTTTACTAGGTTGTAGAAACATTTTATTCGATGTTTTAATACATGAAATAAGCAGGGTTTTTTTTAAAGAGATTTTACTATAGGGTCTGTGCACTCGCCAGAAAGACAGAAACAGAGACAGAAAGCAAGAAATCCCCCCCCCCCCCCAGGAGGGATGGCCATACCACAATCTCTTCTCCTCCATTCTCCTCTCAGGATTTTGGGCATGCGCACACACTCCCAGTATGAATTTTGTTTTGTTTTTTGAGAGAGATTTTTGCTGTAGACCATGTATGAGACAGACAGAGACAGACAGAAAGTAAGAAATCACCCCCCAGGGGGATGACCACACTGCAGTCCCTTCTCCATTTTCCTCTTGGGATTTTGGGCATGCACATGTGCCCAGTATGAGTTTTAAGCTGCTGGATCCGAGGCTTGAACCATGGCCGACTACATGGGAGTCCAGCAATATAACTGCTATGCCTTCTGCTGGTCCTGATAAATGGGCTTTTAAATAATCAAGTAATGGGCCAACAAGTGGTGCAGTGGTCAAGGCTCAGGACTCCACATTCAGTTGCCAGACCTGGTGATTTGAGTCCCAGACCCGGCAGCTTGAAAGTCTCGCCAGGCTTGTGTGTGTGCGTGCCCCAAATCCTGAGAGGATGGCGCACACACCCTATAGCAGAAACATTAGGAAAAAAATCAATTAACTAATAAAAAAAAAATTAACTCATTTTTAAAAAGACCAAATGGATTCCTAAAATCCTCTCAATTTTAGGAATAAGGATTCTAGGAGTCAGAAATGAGCAATACATTACTAAGACAATTTCAAAAAATAGAGACTAAGCAACAGAAGATGGTCGGCAAGTGACCGCAGAATGCACGCACGCCAGGACATCTGCCTTCTGTGTAGGGGCACTTCTCTCTCCCTCCTCCTCCTCCTCCTCCTCTTCCTCTCTTCTCTGCTTCCTCTCTCTCTCCGGGCCTCCTGTCTTACTCTCGGGTGTCTAGTGGCCAGGCTTCACCTGCTCAGCAGGGCCCCATTGGGCAGGGAGCCTGGGAGAGATTGTCCCTCAGTCAGGGAGGGCAGGGCAGAAGCCAGAAAGTCCAGGATTATCGTGCTGACCACACGACTTGGGTCATGATGAGCAGAGACACTGTGTGAGCTCAATCTTAATTCTTTGGTAATGTAATTTTGCATTTTCTTTTCTTTTTTGAACATAGAAACTCAGTGTTAGAAGGGCCATAGTGTCATCTGGTCCAGGTCTAGTCCAGTTTATAAATCCATGACACCTGGAAAGTCCGGTGTCGTGTCTCCCAGTCCACAGGTGAGGCTCACGACCTCCCCTAACTGCCCACTCCGGCTTCTGATGGCTTTAATTGCTGGAAGGTTCCTTTTAAACACTGGGGAAAAGCTGCCTCCCAGGGACTTCGCTCTTAGCCGCTATACGTTTACTAGTAGAGTTCAAGACCACGTTACAGATGGCTTCCTTGCATTCTGCATTTGTATAGGAATAACAGGACTCACAGGCCGTACATGCCAAGACCAAGGAGAGAGCAAAGAACTCTGCCCCGGCTTCTGCAGAGTCACAGTGACAGTCGGCTCTAGAGAATACACCCACCTGGAGGATTTGGCAGCCAGAGCTGCACAGGGGAGGCACAGCTCAGGTCAGTCAGAAAATGGCGTTCTTTAGTCTCGCGTTAGCGGTTGTCAAAGTTAAGAAGCCTTGGCTCATGCACTATCCCAAGAAGGAGACGAAAGACTGTAGGTATGTGGCCCCTGTCCAAGGACAGCCATGCTGTCCCTCCAGGGTAGAACAAGTGTTTCCTTCCTCCCTTTGTGTCCCCTAGCGTGCTTTGACCTTGCTTTAAGTACTCACCACATTTTGCCTTGACCTTTCTTCGGATATGAGCTCCTTTCTCTCGATTGATTAAATCTTTCTTGGGAAGGAGGAGCTGTGTCTTATTCATCTTTATAAATAAATGTGGAGTTTTACTTTTTTTCAAAGACAGCACAATTGTGCATTGGATGGGACCAGCAGATGACATAATGGTATGTTGCTGGACTCCCATTTAGTTGACCACAGTTCAGGTCCCAGACTTGGCAGCTTAAAACTCATGCCGGGCAAATGTGCGTGCATGCCCAAAACCCCAAGAGGGGAATAGAGAAGGGACTGCAAGTGGCCATCGCCCCCCACCCCCGGTGGAATGATTTCCCACTTTCTGTCTTTCTGGCAAGTACACGTGCCCAATAGCAAAAGTCTCCCTTTAAAAAAAGAAAATGTGCATTGGAGATTAGCAATGTGGTGTCTAAGGAATGTAAAGATGGTCTATTTTTTTACATGCTGACTCTTAATGAAAACCTAGTTGAAATTTAGCCCTCCCAGAACAGTAAAAACGGTACTGATTTATTCAGTCATTCATTTGTTTAGCAAACATTTATGATTTGTTACCAGCTTGCCTTGGTGTAGCACTTAATAACTGTATTTTTTTTCTCTGACACTTTTTTTTTTTTTTTTTTTTTTTTGTGCTATCGGGCACGTGCGCTTGCCAGACACAGAGAGAGACAGAGAGACAGAAAGCGAGAAATCACCCCCAGGGGGGATGGCCACGCCGCAATCCCTTCTCCTCCATTCTCCTCTCTGGATCTTGGGCACACGCACACACACGTGACCAGCTGAGTTTTAAGCCACCGGGTCCAGGACACGAACCACAATTGACTACATGGGAGTCCAGCGACAGCCATTACACTAACTGCGGTCCCATTTATTTATTTTTTTTGGAGAGATTTTTGTTATAGGGGGCATGTACGCTAGCCGGAAAGACAGAGAAACAGAAGATGAGAAATCACCCCACGGGGGGGATGGCCATGCCACGATCCCTTCTCTTCCAGCTTCCTCTCAAGATTTTGGGCACACACACACATGTGCCCAGTGTGAGTTTCAAGTTGCCGGGTCCAGGACTCGCCATGGTCAGTTATGTGGGAGTCTAGCCATGTACCCATTACACCATCTGCTGGACCCTTAATACCTTTCTAAATCCTTTATCGCTGGGACTTCATATTTCCCAGTCTCTCGACATGCAGGTATAGGCGAGAACGGGCCGGAGGGGCAGGCCTCCCCAGGCAGAAGCAGTAGCAGTACCAACTGGACCCCCATTCCTGGGAGGCTAGTTTGTTGACATAGGTGGGATCATGCAGGGGCTATACTTACAAGGTGAAGAATTTTTATTTTCATCTACAGAGTGGGACTGGACAAAGGCAACTCTTTCGTTATGATTTAAGTAATTCTGTCCTGGGGTGTTATATCTGTAATGAAATTCTAAAAAGAAAAGAGTAAAAACACAACTGATTGCCTGGGAACAACAGCCATCCCCACTGACACCTTTCTAAGGCTCCCCAGTGCATCTCACCTTTAGCTGGGTCATTGCTGCAGATTCTCCGGGAGCAGAGCATCTTAACACCACAATCCTCACATCTGTTATGCTGCAGCCCAGCGCCAGAATCAGAACAGAAGCTGTTTCCTGTGTCAGAGCCTGAAAAAGCCCAAGTTACACAAGGGCACGTGAGTTTCTTGAAGACAGTCGTAAAATGTGGGATGGAGAGTAGAGGTCTACTCACAGGGTACGCTCCAAGTGTCCGGTCATCCCTACGATGTTACCAAGGGGAGCTGTTACTAGGGCAGACATTCCAGACCCTCTGGTAACAACTGAGAGAAGCACATGCAGGTGCTCAGTGAAGGTCGGCTGGAGGAATGAATCCGTGAGAGTGTGGCCCTGTGAGTTATCAGTCTTGCATTTGTATTTCCACATTTTCTCTGACAGATTCACATTCTTTCTCTTGACCCTGCTGTGGCCAATAGCATGTTTGTGTGTGCGTGCCACAGGGCATGTGCGCTCACCAGGGAGAGACTGGAACTTGAACCACAGAGTTGGCCATGTGGGATCCAGTGCCCTAACCACCCTGGCACCTGCTGGCCCTGACATTATCTTTCGAAGTATGAATCACAAATGGAATGAGTTCGAAGGCCTGAGATTGCAGTGTGTCTCTGCCCACCAATTCTTTCACACTCTGAGAGAGCCTAATTCCTCTCTCCTTGAGTGCGGGCTGCACTTAGTGATTCACTTTTAATGAAAAGAATGAAATGTTAGCAGTGTCATATAATTTGTTACACTAGACCAGAAAAGACATCGACGCTTCCATCTTGGTATTTGTTTTTCTTGGACTACTTGCTCTTGGGGATGTTGACAGACATCTTTTTTTTTTTTTTTTTTTTTTTTTTTTTGAGAGGTTTTCGCTATAGGGCACGTGCACTCGCCAGACAGAGAGAGACATAGAGACAGAAAGCGAGAAATCACCCCCCAGGGGGGATGGTCACGCCACAATCCCTTCTCCTCCATTCTCCTCTAGGGATCTTGGGCACGCACGCACACACGCCTGGCATGAGTTCTAAGCCACCGGGTCCTGGACGCGAACAGCGGTCGACTACGTGGGAGTCCAGCGACATAGCCATTACACTAACTGCTGGTTCCCGACAGATATCGTATAATGACAACTCAAGCAGCATGTTGGAGAGGCCATATAGCAAGGAACTGCGACCTCCTGCCAAGGCCAGGGGAGTGAACCATCTGAGAAGCAGGTCTTCCCTCCCTGGCAAGCTTTCAGAGGACTGCAGCTCTGGCTGATCTCCTGTCACCTCGTGGGAGATCCTGAGCCTGAGCCCGCCAGCTAAGGTGCGGACCCACAGTTACTGTGAGATAGTAAATGTTCATTGTTTCGAGTCATTAAGTTCTGGGATATTTTGTTACCCAGCAATAGGTAACTAATAAACTAGCTCTTTGACTCTGGCAAGTCACTACTTCCTCTAAGCCTCCATTTCCTTATGTATAAAGTACAGATAATAATTCCTTCATTAAAGAGGTGCTGGGATGAATGATAAATACTATGTCAACAGTTCTTGGAGTTTTGATTTCAGAACCCTTTTATATTTTTTAAGTTCAGAACCCTAAAGAGCTCTCATTCATGTATTTTTCATCTATTGTATGTTATAAATATACCATTTCGGGAACCAGCAGTTAGCGTAATGGCTATGTCGCTGGACTCCCACCTAGTCGACCGCAGTTCGCGTCCTGGACCTGGTGGCTTAAAACACGCCGGGCGCGTGTGCGTGCGTGCCCAAGATCCCGAGAGGAGAATGGAGGAGAAGGGATTGCAGTGTGACCATCCCCCCTGGGGGGTGATTTCTCACTTTCTGTCTCTATGTCTCTGTCTGGCGAGTGCACGTGCCCTATAGCAAAAAAACCTCTCCCCCCCAAAAAATAAAATAAAATATACCATTTCCTGCACCTGAGCTGGAAGTTCTCCCTCCGCATTGGAGAAGAATGATCATACGACATTTAGTTAGCAGCAGATGAACTGGTTGTTAGTGAGCGGCTCTTAGTACATTAATCCCAAGTCATTTTTGCATCTGCAGAAACATTCAGCTTTCCCCGACACTGAATGGGCGGTTCTGAGAAGAGTGGTATTGTTTTATATTTTGGCAAACATCTTGTCAATGTGGCTTATCAATCAAGCGGCTGGACTCCATACTGCCTCTCCATCAAGCCGTTTCAATATCGGCCTCACGCAGATATACAGCTAGCAAAGGGAAGATCTTATGGCCCCCCTGAAAGTGATCCAGGAAACCCCAGGGGCTCTCTGACCACACTTTGAAACCCCTACTCTGAGATCAATTCTGTGGTGTCATGATTAAAGCAGCCAGATTCCACGTAGCCAACCATGTGGTCTGAATCCCAGCCCCAGAGGCCTGAAAAATACACACATAGGCAATGCATGCCCCAGATCCCAACAGCGAGAGCAATGGAGGGAAGACTGCAGCGTGACCATGCCATTGGAGGTTGCTTTCTCCTCTTCCTCTTTTTGTCTTTGTCTCCAGCAAGTGCATGTGCCCTCAGGCAATTTTTTTTTTTTCAAATCAATTGTTCTCTTTTATTACCATCTTTAAAATTTCATATGAAGGCCTTAGAAATTATCCGGCTTGTTACTGTAGCTGGGGAACTCTTAGCTCTTACTCATCAGCCTGCTGAATGGTACCCTTCAAAGACATAGTTCCCTTCTCAGAGACATAGATACCATCCAAGGATTTTCCTATATCCTTGTTTTTAACTGTCGTGGCTTGCTGGATCAAAGCAGCTGAATTTGAAACAAGTTCAGTAACATTGCCTTCAAGGATCAACTCATCTTTCTGGGCTTGAGATACTGAGCAAGCAACACCTGGTCTCATTCAAACCCTCCCGATGTATTTTACACCCGAGAAATTTCGGATTTCCACAAGAGCCCCATTCTCCTGGATAACGACGTTGATGGGGAATGAGCGTACACAGACCTCATCTTGTAGCGGAAGCCCAATGTAACGCCCTGGATCATATTCTGTTGGTGGTGATTTTTAAGCTCAGGAGCTGCCTCCGCAGAGAGGCTTCCAGTCCCACCTCTTCTTCACTCAGGACAGTTCTGCCAAGGGATGTTTCTCCATTTAAACTCTCTTGGAGAAAGGATTTTTTGTTTGTTGGTTGGTTGGTTTTTGCTATAGGGCATGTGTGCTAGCCAGAAAGACAGAGAGAGACAGAGAGATAGAAAGTGAGAAATCACCCCCCAGGGGGGATGGTCACGCTGCAATCCCTTCTCCTCCATTCTCCTCTCGGGATCTTGGGCACACACGCACATGTGCCCCATGTGAGTTTAAGTCACTGGGTCCAGCACTTGAACCACGGTTGACTACGTGGGAGTCCAGCGACATAGCCATTACGCCAACTGCTGGTCCCGGAGAAAGGATTTTCTAGCTAAAAACCATTGCATTTCATGTACTGGTGCTCTCTGAGTCTTCTCCCAGCTCTAATCGTTTGTGTCTGTAAAATGCATGTGGACGAGTGGGCAGCACCTCTCATGTCGGCTGGTAACCTCCCCGGGTGCGGTTATGGGTCGATGTTGGGAGGACGAGGCTAGACGGAATGAGGATGCCTCGTGACTAGTCCATGGAGCCTGCGGGTCCAGGTAGACAGGTGTTGGCAATTCACCCTGCTTGACATGGCTTATTTAAATCGATTCAACTAGTTTTTACATGGGGTGGGGGGAATCGAGGCTATTGCATGTTGTAAATTTTTTCTGAAATGTGAAGAATTAATGGTCCAGGGCAGTGCAGTCGGAGTGCCAGATGGCGGGCTCGGGTCCACCGTGAGCAGACCCCACAGGAGACTGAGCACCCATAACCCCAGGGCCCCCAACTTACTGGGCGTCCAGTCTGGGCGTGGGACCTTTTCTTGAATGACAATCGAAAACTGTCCACAGTTGATCTTTCTGTAACCTTTTTTCTCCATTTTTTGTTTCCTACAAAAAAGAGGCATAAGATCCCATAAACTTTTAGTACACTTCTACTAGATGAGGAAAGCATCGGTAAAACTGAAATGTTCCTCTTCTCATCTCAGAGCCTAGAACTGTGAAGAGCGGCTGACGCGTGTCCTCAACACAGGTCCCGTCTGCTGGCCTGAGAGCTTCCTGGAAGACACTGCGCCCAGCACAACTCGGGTGCAAATCATTAGAAATCAGTGTTTTGCTCTACAGAGCATGATATCTAAGCATCGTATACACACAGTCAAAACAGAAATTTGAAGTACAGAATTATCAAAGTTGGAGTTCCCTCCTCCTCATGTTTCCAAATTAGTTCTGACCGGGAGAGGAAGCTAGGTACCTGTACCGGATCCCATGGCTTTGGCTCTGTAAGCACACACTGAATGTATTTAAAATGTCCGGCAAAGTGGGTTTGGCTCTGTCTGTGGGGCTAAAGGTGTTGGGAGCAAGTGGAGTTAATTTTAGTTGTAAAAGGCCACGAGGGGGCGTCAGAAAGAAGCAGTTACCGTGTTCGTTCACGTGGGGACTTCCTCTGAACTGTAGCATCAGCCTGCTTCCCTCACAGAAATCTAACTCTTCCGAAAGAATTCTAATTAATAACAGCTCTCAGCAAAGCTCGTGGCCCCTGGGATACATTAACCCACCCAGGGAAGGTTGATCATTCTGAGTGTGGAGGGCACTGTGCCCAGACGTGCCAGCGCAGGTGAGACTGATTCCCCCTGGACTGGGTAGACACGTGCGTGTCCACCATCTGCCCGGGCCTGTGGCTGGTGCCCAGCCGGAGGTCTTGGGGTGGAGGGATTGGGGCTGAGAAGCCAGGCCCTGGCCCTCCTCTTGGAAAAACATGTTCTCCTCCTGAGTCACATTTTTCTCACACCTCATTTTTGGTCTCCACCCTCCCCTCTGGGACATTTGAACATCTGCTCTCCAAAGTGGAAAACTTGGAACTCACTCAAGTGAATGCAGCCTAACACATGAGCTGACTTTTTCTGCTTCTTTTAAACTCTTTTGTGACTAAAATCTTCTGGCCAAACATAAGAGCTCAGAGCAATTCTCTGAGTAAGACAGTTTTTTCACAAGACAAAGTGATGACATGTATTCTTAAATCCAAAGTTGTGCATCAGAAATAACACACGAGGATGTGCATTTTACGTTTAGCATGCATGTTATTTATCTACGTAGATAGTAATTGACAAACATCCTGAAAACAGTGTGTACTTATGAGAACAGAAATGAGAAGGCTAAGGCATTTGAAATTAATTAGGCCTTGAGAGGTATGCGGAGCTGGAATATTAGCTATGCTTACTACGATCTTATGACTTGTAGGGAGTTTAAAAGAAGCTCTCACAGCCTGGCTGGAACTTTTCAGCCTGTAAACGAACTTACATATTCTGGACTATGTCATGAACAAGTGTTGTCATAGAAACCTAATTAGACTTGTACAAAAAAAGTAAGTCCTTGGGGCCGGCAGGTGGCCTAGTGGTTAAGGGCACTGGAGTCCCACATGGCTGACGGTGGTTCAAGTTCCGGACCTGGCAGCATGCTTTCTCACTTTCTATCTCTCTCTCTCTCCTCTCTCCTTATCTGGTCAAATTAAAATAAATAAATAAATAAAATAATTCTTTAAAAAATAAAAAAAGTAAGTTCTTGATAATAATAAAAGGCTAAGAATGAGTTTGGGTACAGATTGGCCTCAGAGAGAGAAGTGTACAAAGTCCCAGCTATGTCACCCATACATCTGTCTGAAGTCATTGTTCAAGGACACATCTTAACAAAAAATTCACTGACCAGCTGGCATTAAAGTAAAAGCCCCCTGGCCCAGCCCATGGTGCTTGAGGTGGCTGGATTGTACAGAGCCGACTGTGCAGTTTGAGTCCTGGATCTGGCAGCTTCAAAATCATGCTGGGTGCGTGTGTGTGCCCAAAGTTCCCAAGGAAAAGAGAGGAGAAGGGATTGCAGCGTGGCCATCCCCCTGGGGGTGATTTCTCACTTTCCCTCTCTCTCTTTCTTTGTCTTTCTCTGAGGAGTACACACGCCTTATAGCAAAACCAAAGGGAAAAAAGTGAAGGTGCCCTAAGTACCGCAGGCTGTATATTGTCCATTTCAACAGCATCTCCTGCCAGTAGCTGGATTACTAAAACTTATGATATGTGAAATAAAAAAAAATCACTTACAAAAACATTGTTCTTGTGAACCAATGTTGAGTTCTTAGTGGAAAATAAACATATATCCCTCGTTCTTCCCCAACTTCCCTATAAAAGTAAACCCTAAGTCTGCCATCCTGGAGCATCGATTACACTCTCCGGAAGCCTTTGCTCCTGGTGACCCGTCCTCATGCTGTAGCTTGGGTAAACCTTTTGTTCGCTTGACAAGTTCTGATGAGACCTTCATTCCAGGTGACATCGACGTGCTTTGTAATGAACATGTCCCCTCAGAGAGAACTGATCTCACAGAGTAAAGAGTATGTAGCCTTTCCTTCTAATAATTCCTCAGGGATTATGTAGTTTATCAAGATTTCAATTTTTAAGTTATAGCTGTCCTCTTCTGATACTCCAAAAGCGAATTTGCTGCTAGATCTGATTTTACATTTGGTTGTGCTTTGCTTTCGTCTTGTCCTTCGTAAATGAGTACATTTAGGGGACTGGATGGGGCACAATGGTAAAATGCAGTGCTCTTCCAGGCTGACCCACCTGGAAAGTTCCAGGTTCATGTCTGGAGACTCCCTGAGCACACAGCACACACGTGCACCCATGATGAGGGCTGGCTGAATCTGGGGGTGGATCGTGGCACCAAGACCCTGTAGGAGGTACTGTATCTCTCTCTCTCTCTCTCTCTCTCTCACTCTGTCGTGTGCTCTCACTCATGGGAAAAAAGGAATAAAACCTTTTAAAAAAATACATTCAGTCTATAACATGGGTCCCTGTCTTGGTACTCCATGTGGTTTTGTAGAGTCTAGGTTAGGAATTTGAAAGAAAAACATTGAACCTTGAATGCTTAATCAAAATGTTTTTTGTGTGCAACTATTTTTTATCATACTTATTAAAACCTAAAAGCAAATCCAAAATGTAGGCATTAATCCAATAAATAAACACAGTAGGCCTGGGATAAATAAGTGAGTCACTTCATTAGTGTCCCTACCTAGTATTTAAAGGAGAGCTCAGTGCTGATGACTGGCATGGTGGCTTAAGGCATGGCACACACCAGATGACACAGTCATTTTTAGCACGAACTCCGGGCTGTTTCTTTTTTTAGGGGCGGGAACTCAATAGAACACTTATGACGAGTGCCCGTTCCGCGTGGAATGCGTTCTAACAGGAAGCCTCGTCGTTCAGAGCGCGTCATCTGCCTCCATTGGAATCCATTGCACACGTGTAACAGTGGCTGCCAGCAGCTCTTCCCTCCCCGACTCTCGACCTCTCCAAGGTTCAGGAGCCAAGATGGCCCGCTTCCAGTGAGCTTGGAGGTGGTGCCAGTCCTAACTGATAGAAGTCAGATAAAGGATTCTGGATCCACCTGCGCTTACAGTTGATCCAATGAATGTTTCCAAAACCTTCAGGATTTCTCCTTCGAAGTTTACATGATTTGCAGCTTGTTAGCGCTGGAAGATGTCTTGCTTAGGCGTGGGAAGGAGTCCGCTCTGAGACGAAGGGTTAGGCTTTTTCCTGGAGGGATGGTGGGGGGGAAGGGAGAGCCCAGGTAGAAGACCTAAGCCCATGGTAGAGACAGTAAAGTCCCTGGGAGCTGCTATACAGTGGTGGGGAATAATTCTCCATCTGGGCGATGTTCTAAAAGCACCTACAAGACCATCTTCCATGTGCTATAACCATGATTCTTGACCGAAGAGGGTGATTGGGATCACGGTGTGTGTGTGTGTGTGTGTGTGTGTGTGTGTGTGTGTGTGTGTGAAAGCCCGATTCCTACCAGGGGTCCACCCCAGGTGATGCCAGCACAGTAGGTAGGGGTGAGACGTGTGCATTATTTTAAAATCTGGCTGGTGATGTTGATGTTCTTCCCAGTGGAGAACCACTGCCAGGAGCTTTGTGAGGTGGGAGGGCCACCGGGCCCCGCGCCCAGCCCTGAGATCCGTAATTCTGTAACTCGCCCAGTGGGTTTGGCTAGCTGCCGCGCACCTCCTAGCTGGAGCTATTATTCCAGGACCAACCCCACCCACCCTGGGATGTCGCAACAAGAGCCCTCTCACCATTCAAGGAGCCGGCGGCAGGAGGCACAGTTTGGACTGGGTACCATCATCTCCGCACATTCCTGCCTTCCCGGCGTGGCGCTGGGGTCCTCCTGCACCACAAAGCACACACAGATGTGGCCTCCGTGAAGGATGTGACTCATCCCCTGGCTGCACACGCAAAACCCAGCAAGCAGCTCAGACCCACTGAACTTGCCACAGCAGGACAGGAGATTGGCCCAGCCTCTCTGACAGAAGGGGAGGCGGAGGCCCAGGGCACAGGAGGGAGAGAAAGGCCCACGCTTGGCTCTGAGTCTGTCTCAGTGGGGTCTGTGCCTCTAATGGCCTGATTTCTTTCCTCCTCCAAGCACTTTTTAAAAATCTGGTGTACAGATGAGAGAATATTTTTCTTTTTTTCCCCTGTCCCTTAGTCTCAAGTCACTCCAAGCTCCACCAGAAGATGAACAGATTTTTAAGTCTACCATTCTGACCACTGGTTGGTGGAGCGTCTAAAAGTGTATCCAAAGAAATCTATTCAACTATAAATTAAAGCAGGGGTGGCCAGCGGGGTGGAGGTTGAGGTGGTTGGATCCCACATGGCTGACTGCGTGGTTGGGAATCTTGGACCGGCAACTTGACAAAAACATCGAACTTGTGAGAGAGAAGAAAGGAGGAGAAGGGATTGCAGAGTGGTCATCCCTCCTTGGGGGTGCTTTCTGTCTCTCTCCTCCTCCTCTGGTGAGCACACAAGCCCTATAGCAAAATTTAAAACCAACCAACCAACCAAAAAAATAAAATAAAATAAAAAAACTACAAAAACAAAACAAGGACTAGGGACTGGCTAAAGGCCCAAGCGCACGCAGCACTGTTACACTACTGAACTGAAAAGGCTGACGCCGCCCACCCCGTGTGTTTTGCTTACCCTTTACATAAACAGAAGGGAAGTGTGCTTTTTCCACCATTATACACAATGCTGGCACAAGGCTGGCTGTACGCATAGCTTTTTCCACATTTGGAATCACCTCCCAGGGAAACGTCTAGGCCAAAGGTTGGAAACATGCTGGCGCGATGACACGTGTTGCCAAACTGCTTTCCACAAAAGCTGCACAGATTACACCGTCGCCAGCAGTGTGGACAGCGCGGCTGGCTCACACCTTCCTCGGCCCCAGGAATGAGCACTTGAACATGTTTTTGTGACTTTAACACGGGGAGAGGTGGTGCCTTGTGTTAATTCCTCTGTTATTAGAGGAGAGCAGCATTTTAAAGGAGCTTATTGTTGGATTTATTTCCTATTTGTAACTTTTTAGTTTAGATCCTTTGTTATATCCTTTGTTTGTTTGTTTGTTTTTGTCTTGTTTTGCTTTTTGAGGGACTTGAGTGTTTTCTTATGAATGAAAACGGCCGGTTGTTTTTGTTTTTTTTTGTCTTGTTTTGTGTTTTGCTTTTTTGAGGGGTTTGAGTGTTTTCTTATGAATGAAAACGGCCGGCCGTTTGTTGCTGGGTCCTTACGTGCCCTGGGCTCCTCATGC